GCTTTATGTTTCAGTCTCCTTCGCAGAAAATAACTGAAATCGTGAGGGAATTTTATCCTACGCGATTCATTCTAAAGTATTACGCACTTATTTTTGTATTTCTCCACGTACTAGAAGAATGAAATATGACTTCAAGAACATGTTATGAGCCTTTTTAATTGAGGGTAATATCTGGCAGTTATTGTACTGGAGTCAGGTGTATCGCGCACTTGAGACAGTACAGGTATTCGGAATTACCATTGCCTTCTGTAAGTTTTACAATCATTTTCAGCAGTTTTATCTTGAGTGGTATCCTCCAATCAAACACGTTTCTGGTCCCTGCGGAACTTCTCATTTACTATTTAAAAAAAAAGCTCCTCTATAACTATTCTCACTAGAGTACAGGAACTGCATGATGTTTTCTTTCGTGCTGTATTCTATTCTCGTCAACGAAGTCCATCGGTTGCCTTGATTGATATATTGTAAAGTATTCTGCACATGTCAGTTGCATAAAACACACTGATTTTTCGAATGCGATAATACCGTATTCATGAGTACAGTATTACAGCATCTAATGCGTAAATGCCGTAAATGCTTCGAATGAATGGTCACCCCTGCAACAGGTTTGGCGATTTCAATACAAACTCTAAAAAAAAAGTCGCGTCATTGTCGCAGATTTCAACTGATCGTCCATTGCTTGTTATTTGATATTTCATGAATGTGAATGCGTCGCACCTCTGGGAAATGTCACGGCGGGCGCGGTGCGAGTTGGTCGGTGGTGCGTGTGCGCCTTCACTCCGAGAGCTATCGTTTTCCTTCGGGGTCGTCAGCTCACCTCTTGAACTCATCCAGCTCTGACAGTACATCCGTCGATCTTTTTTGTGCCCCGCTAGTTAGTCGGGAAACCACACACGTACTGTGTACGTACCGCGATGAGGCGATTCGGTGGCCATTAGAGTCTTCTCTCGTCATCGGGATTCACCTCGGCTTCTTTGGTTGCCGAATAGCTCGCTGGTGCAATTTCGACGCCCCGCAGCAAAAGGAAAGAAACTCTTTCCCGGAAATCACCAAGGAGAGCGACATTTTAGCATTCCTTAGCAGACTCTCGCAAACACAGTTTGAATGCGAACGTTTTTCACAGTATTCCTTCGGCATCAACAGAGAGTTGAATTCGGTATACGTGACCCCAATAACAGTCATCAATTGCTGATTCATCTTTTGTTTACTCAATATGCATCTTCAAATAAACGATAATCAAGACAGCTACGGAAACAGGCACGGCGCAGAAAATGATATAGTGTTTAATCGATTACAGGATGCGGTTATTGCTAAAAAAATCAATCCACATCTTCAGATGGAGCGCATAATCGAGCCATCCAAATTTAAGCCTCATCAACCTCATACTGTGTGCGCAGCCTTTACGCAAGATTATGGAATGTCGAAGAATTTCGATTAAGAAGTTTTCCACAAGACATGGGCCGATACCACCCCCCTTCCAAATTTACATGTTTATCGCCTTTTTGTTTGCTTTTTGAAATTCCTACCGAAAATTAAAGTTCGGGGTTTGGTCGCATGCATCCTAAAATCGCATGATTGCGGTACATTAAAAACATCGTTCGAAGTTTTCATCCTGAAACTGGAGCACGCATTGCTTCAGTGCCCTTTTTTTCCTGTAGAGTATTTTAAAGCAAAATTGTCAACGAAGGTGCGTGATATTTTCAGATTGATCGAAATAGTCGAAATTTACAAATTGACAGATGATACAATTAAAACCGTGTTAATATCCTTATAGCAACTCGCTCCTGCATTCGTAATTCGCCTGCATAGAGAATCAGAGAATATGCCACCAACCTCAGATGAAAATACTCATGTATGAATACACCGGTTTACAACTTTATAATAAGAGCCTGTTTTCATCGCATACATTTCTTTAAGCTTTAAAATAGGTAACTCGTCTCCTCAGCTTGAAATGTTACTCCTCTAAAAAGTTCATGCACGTCAAGTCCGACCTCCGACTTCACTGATAGAGAATAGCAGGGCATTATTTTAAGTGGGGTTTCTCAACCATTCTACTCGTGAATCACTTTCTAAAATATTGTAATTTAATGACATGCACGGGTACAAAAAATATTTTCATGTTGTAGCCCTATACGCTTAAAATTTACCGGAGATCATAAGTACTGCTGCTTGTTGTCTTCTCCTTGTGTTGAAGACATAGTACCGGTTTCCACTGCCTTTTTTGTGTTTTTACGCATCGGAATATTTAAATTAATTCAAATTTTATTCACCTCGTTTTACTAAAGTGATCATGGAGACACAGAAGTCCAGACCAAGCCATTGGCTCTCTGCAGAGGTTGCCGTAATTAATCGAATACGCTCATAGATTGAGAGCCGGTTTTTCAGAAATGAATGAAATTTCGGAGAGGACGGATTTGCCTACTTTTTTTTTTAAATTTAACGCAGATGTGGAATTAAGCAGTCAAAAATCGTTTTAGAATTTAACCGTGCGTCCTGTAGAATTGTAGATCAGTGCTTGAGAGATCGGGGAGTTGAGTATTAAAATCGTGGAACGTTAAAAAGCAACAAACAAGGCCATTTTGCGGAAGGAACGTGGTTTTCCCGTTTCCCGGCATAATATTTTGGTCAAGGAATTTACTGTCGTTCCTGGGCTAATTCTGCCCCGGGTTTCATAGCCACTTAGAGCTTTTTCGAATAGCTCCAGGTTTCAAATTAACAGCCGTTCATCGCCCCACATGGAAACACACAATGAGGTAGTTATCATCAGCCCCGCGCGGATTACAACCGCTGCTGGGAGAAGCAAATAATCGACCACCCAGTCCGACTCCAGCTTCATTTAATCAAGGTTTATATGATAACAAAAACGTGAGACCCCTAATTGATTACGATGTTCGTTCGTGAAGCAAATAAATGTACCTTTGACGTAATTCCCGGTTAATCTCCGCGGAACGTCATAACGCAGCAACTCGCTCTGCCCGAGAGGATGGCGGAAATGGGGCCATTATTCTCTGAATATGTCCTTGTCACATAATGTCAATTACTTCGCGAATTATCTGACGAACGGAGTAAGATCGCTTCGGCTTTACTTGTGGTTTCTTCAAGTACCCCGACTCGTTTTTGACGAGATGGCTCGAAACTGAAAGAAGAATTGAACGGCGGAACCTGTAGGCCGGAATATGTATACAATACATTTTAAAGAGGTCGTTAACTTGAGGTTCTCGTATAAAACCACCCAAGGACAAACAAAACTGACGATTTTATGTCCTGAATTTGTTTTATCGTGGTTCTTCCTCAATTCCAGCATTTTTCTCCTCTGTGCAAACCCATTCATGGAAGCGAATGCACACGAATAAAAAGGTTTATGTGATGAAACAGTCTGAAATCATAAATCAAGACGTGAATTGAAAAATCCATCTGAGAATTATTTTAGATGTAACACTCAGTAAAGGGAAGTAGCAAGTGATTCAAAGAGGTTAACTACAGTACATTCCTTGGTAAAGCAAGCATATAAATTGCTCACAGGTGGTAAATAAAAAATCGGTACACCGTATTCGATTAATTACGCACACAGTACAATGTGGGAACTATAAATCGTGCTTGCATAGGGAATCGAAATTGCATATTCCGTGAATGTAAATCGCATACGATAGGGGTTATTGCGCATTGCAAAAACGTAGCTTGCCCATTAAAAACACCGTACAGTTTATATGCTGCATGACATGCATCTCATACGGAGTGATGCTTTCTGACATGATTTTATCGCAGTTTTTACTTTCGTTATTTCCATGGAGTATCGTTTAAAAATGAGTGGAGTTTATAAGTTGTTTACGTTGAAATCACGACAAATGGATTCTGTACGTACAAGTAAAGTACTGCACAGTACGTGGATAATGACGTGAAAATTCATCATTCGTAATGTAAGCTGAAGCGATATGCGATAGGCCTGCTGTTAGAATTAACGTTTCCAAATTCAACCTCAGTCGTTGAAATCTTCCTCTCTTTAATCTTTAATCGTAAAGACAATTGTGTTCCGCGTCTAACGTCTCAACTTCTGACTATGCAAGTGCAAATTAATGTGCATATACCGGTATATAACTTACCCGCGACTAACTGAGCAAATTTTTTTTGGCAATGAGTGTTACCAGGAAACAATTTATGAAAACTGCGCCGTTGAGGTAAGCAGCAAGGAGAACAGATGTCGCTCTAAAAGCTCACGCCGCACGATGATATGCCGATGAAGTAATCACGATCTGCTGGAGTTAACAACTTTACACGACGTGAATAAAATCGTTCGATTAAGAAGTGAAACGCATTGTATTCACAACAACACTATTACTTAAATTTCACATACTTTATATGCTGATAGGCATACATGAATCAATGGAAAATAAAAGGAATCCCCGCTTAGCTAATTTCTTCATAATGCATCACTCTGTACGTGCTACTGTAGTGTATATATTTTTACCTTATGGAGAAAGAAAAAATCTAGGATACGTATTCTATTCTATAGTTCTCAAATTGCCCATATCCGTTAACTTTGACAACCGTTCCGAAGTTGACAGGTCGATTTCAGATGTCATTCTCCTGGAAAGTCAGCGCAGGATGGTATAATTTTCTCATTGTCTTTCGTCCACGCTGCAGATCGTTCTTGCTGGGGCTTCTTCAAAGGAAACATATGGTTCCACGACATCTTTTACAAGAGGTTAGATCGCAGAAATGAGAGATCCGATTTCAAATTCATACTATGATACTTGAAATATTTGTTGTATGACTAAACGTCTATGCCACAATACAGTACAGTAATTAACTTTAATTCGGATCCCCTCTTTAATTTGGAATATCCTCGATGAGGCAACATCTATTCGAGGTTTTGCCTAATATTCGCAAATCTGCCGGCTTTTTATCTGTAATTCCAGAGTTACTCTCGCAACCGGTTTGTATTTCCCGCGGGAATCGGGAAAAGCTCTTGAACCTCGTACAGTATAATGAAAAATGCACATGGCTTTCGTGCAAAAATTTCAAGCGATTCATTATCAATTCACAGTGTCACTTAACTGACAGAACAAGATCAACCACGACTGTTTCACAACTTTTTCATTTCCAAACCATCATCAGCATTGATGGTGATACGTTCTGCCCTCCGATTTTGTTTCCACGTGTAGTAGTCTTCACCCATCGAGGAAGTCGACTTGCGGAATAATTTGCGGGGCACTGAAAAATTTCCACGTGATTTCAATTCCAAAGATTCCTGAATCATGATGATAACGATAGGATTATTTTCCTGCTTTACTCACGTTCATCGATAAGGATGTTTGACACTCTCATTAGGGGGTACTCAATTGCAACAGCTGTGCAAAATGCGAATGCGTGAGTGAGTATTAAATTCCCAATGAAGTTGTAGGTCTGAGGCAAAAATAAACAACAAATAAAGCACAGTAAAAGGAAGTGAACATTTTCACGAATTTCTCCTTCGTCTTACCTGCATCAGAACATCCAATCTTCGCTGAGTTTTCGAGCTGTGTATATTCCAACCGACGATGTGGAAATGCACAAGGTAACACGAGTATGCCAAGTTACCCAACGGCTTGAATGCAGACCAACTCAGAAATGTGTTGATGAACCCTGTGTGTGTGTTTAATCTTTTTTTTTAGGTGGAAAACGTTCATGACATCACATTCCACACTCACCTCCGTACCCGTGAGAGCAGGCGAACACAACCCAAGCTAACGCTAAGCCCCAAACTTGCCGATGAACTACACCATATGTAAGAAGGGCGTCTTCAGATATTGGAGCATTTGGTTCGTACAGGCCATAAACAATTGCCAGACCGGTCGCAATTGCCAATAACCACCCAAGCAGCACACTACCCTGAAACGAAGACAGGAGATGTGGAGTGGTATTCATGAGAAGGTGTCAATTCGTTTCGCACCCCGGATAATTGAAGTCGTTTTCCTCTGAGTTTGAACAGCCAGAAGCCAGTTATGATTCCAACGACGTAGATTCCGAAACGCGTGTGAGGTCTGAAGTAAATGTACTTCATGAAGTTTCCGGAAGTAACTGATCTGTTATATACGAAGACAACAAGCGTATGAATTAAAACGTAGTTATGCACGACCATAGGCGGTTTATTATGCATAAACTTACCCCATCACACTGAATGGCAAAGCCCCAGGCGCGTCGAATTTCGTGTGCACTGCGGCATTGATTCCGAATGATGCACCGAGTAGCATGAAACTGTAGCCCAATGCTAAAGTATCGAAAATTCCAGTTTTTTTTTTTTTAGTATAGATATTGCGTTCAAAGTTAACTCTGAAGACATACCCCAGCTGCCACTCAAATAAAGCGGAACGACCAGGAATGGGGCAATCAAGAAATAAAGCATATCGTTCGTCAGGTACCAGCCATGGCCAAAACACTGAAAAGATATGAGGAAACCGATCAAAATGATGAAATTGCCAATGATAACACAATACAATCTCGCCATCGATATACAAGGAAGACTGGATAACAATTGTAATAATGTACCTGCGTTACAGTTTTGAGACATGTGTTGGAATGAGATTTTCTCGGAAAATCATTGCACAATCGGTAAACACGGGAATGATTTTCTAACACTCGTTGTCAAATTCGTTTTTTTTAAAGAAGTAAAGGATCTTTTCTTGTATTTTGCATATGTTGAATGAAGTAGGATCTTCCATTTATTTTGTCAAGAACTACTGTAATTCAATGCCTGCATTTACTTCTACGATTTTACTTTTCATCCATGCAGAGGCATCCTCAGCCTTGGGAAACCCTGGCAAAATTTGAAAATCATTTGCAACATTGGCGATCCTTCATCGGTAAACAGAAGTGAAAACATAATTTAATAAGATTGCTGTAATAATATTTCTAGCTCTATTGAGATGTTTTATTTCTGCTAAATTTGAAAATTTTGCATTCATTACTCGAAGGATGAAAAGTACTGAACTGTAAATTATGGAAATCCATTAATGTCAAGTAATGATCGGCAATTGAAGATATCTGCCGAAAAGAGGCATATATCGTTTTAGTATCCGACGCGTTTTCATTAAGGGTAGATACTGGAGAGTTCCAACACACGACCGCTCTGAGCTTTCGTGTCATTTCGGATGAATATAATTCGAGGAATGTGATCAACTACCTCTTGGTTCGGATTAATTATTGTGCTGACATACAGGATATTCTGCCACCACTTGTCCTCACATGGCTGAACGTATTGTTGATAAGCAGATGGCCAAAATGGTCCGCTTCCTATTCGTTGAAAGAAGGCGTATGAAATGAGGATTGCCATGCCATACAGCGGAGTTAGTCTTTAAAAAAGGTAAAATTTCATTCATTTCAGGAAAAAATTGACACACAGAGAGACATACATTTACCTCAGATAACGATGGATGTACATTTGTGGCACAAATCCCCAGCTGAAACCGTAGCGCGTGAGCTTTTTGAGCATAACGTAGGAAACTAACAGGCCGCTCATGAAGAAAAACGTATCAACACTGGGAAATCCATTAGTCAGAGGTTGATAGCTCCATTTATTAAATATCTGGAATACAGAATTACGATGTTCATCAAAGCTGATTATCTTTTTCTTGACGCCAGCAGACTCACAGAAAAAAATGCTGTGGGATCAGTCTCACGATTTAAATCCGATGTTTGTGATGAATATGTGTGCGAGAGCAAAACCCAGGTCATCGAAATAAATCTATGCACCAAAAATCAGCTGAAAATTTGCCTGAAAATTAAAAAAGAGCTGAAAAGTTCCCTGACCTCATGCCGTGCAGACACTCGATAACATCGGGGTTTTTCTTCGGTTTTCCGTCTTTACCAGACGGAACGGGTTGCAGGCAAAGAATGACCTCGGCATTTTTAATGATTGAGAAACTGGTGATGATCTGCATCAGCATGTTGTCCCCAGAATCATCTTTGCCTTTTTTTTTACACGAGTTAGAGATGAAATCTGTTCAAATCTAACATCAATTCAAAACTTACCTTGCAATTTTCCTTTGGCTTTGTTCCGCCTTGTGCGACTGAAATCAACGAGGGTCCCAGCGATCAATGTGATGCCCACGAGAAACAAGATAATCCTTCGCAAAAAAATTAAATTTAATGATTCTCTCGTCTCGTATAACGGGTTCAGTGCTTTTCAACTAACATGGTGACTATTTCGACTGTCGACAAACTCGGTGATTTTGACGTTGAGCAATCAAAAAAGTATTGTACTGGCAATTGAGCAGCCGCCAGCAATCCCATGACTTGCATACCCTGCCGATCATAAATTTAAAAAGTTTTTAATATTGAATTGAACGTTTATTATTTTCACCCTACAGTACATTTAAAACGCTCTGAGGGCAGGAGGCCGGTAAGCAAACTCCAGACACAGTTTCTTGTCCAAGTGGCAGCAAAGCAGGTGAGACAGGAAGACGGGCAGTAGTCGGCAAAAAAGGTCTGGGAACAAGAAGGAGAGGTACATTTTACTCGAGAAGTGTTGAACAGTAAATTTACTTTTAATCAATGAATGTAAAAGTCTCTGAAATACTGGCGTGAATACTTTACCCCAGTTTGGCAAAACAATATTGGCCTTCAAAGTTTGTCGGATAAATTGTGATGTTCGCTCCATCCACCGGGTTCTGAAATATCCCCTCCAAAAGTTCGGATGCTCTCAAACTCATACACTGCTCAAAGTTGCCAATGGTCCAGGATGCTCCTCGAAGGAAACCAGCTGGCATCGACTTGACACCGGATGCATCGATGACTGGCCGACCATGAATAATGAATCCAGTAAATTTATATAATGAATCCAGTAAATTTGAAACAATGAATCCATTAAATTTGAACAATGAATCCAGTAAATTTGAATAACGAATCCCTTAAATATTCAAATTAAAACACACTGGAAGGAATCATGAGTAAAACTCAAATGGGGATGGGGGAATTAACAAAGCTGCATAAACTTCGATTGTTGGCAACGAAGTACGTCACATTTACGGCGGTACTAATATTATTTGTGCATTCATTCTTACCTTGAATTACCCATCCTGGTACGGGACGAAAATTGGCATTCGGAAAAGATATGTCGGGCATCAAGTTTCCAAAGTCAATAAGCGGCCCGGTCATCCCAGTTAACCCAAATATGGCTATGATTTCCGGAAGTGGGATACCGTTAATGCTTAGCATGCCACCTGAAGTGCTCACTGTCAAGCCGTTCGCAAGAATGTCCAGGAGCAACAAAGTAACTGCCGTTTGATTTCCCTGGTCGGTAATGAGTTGTCCAATTTGTATTCCATCACTGATCGGCACTCCAGCAAAGTTCACGTTAATCTGTAAGCCCAGAACTTCGTCTCCCACCAAGTTAATATCGGGGAGCTCTCCAATGAGTTCATCGAGGCTGACGGTGTTCGTCAAGTATCCGATGATTTCAGCAGCAGTGACCTCAACCAAGGTCACGTTCTCGTAATCAACAGTAATAGTAACGAGCTGTGCCAAATTCCCTGGATTGGTCCCATTGTTCCCCAGGATCTCACCGATAGTCGAGTTGACTACCGCGTTTCCGGCAATCGTAACCACAACTTCCACGTTACTAACGTCTTCAGCAATTTGGCTCAGGTACAGGTAGTACCAGCCCAGGTCGTTCAAACAGCTCGTTATTTCCGCCACAGTTGGAGGATCATTCTTGGTCTCTGACAAACTGAGCGGTGCGGCTCGAATTGGTTGAACTTCGCTAACAAGTTTGCTTCTTCGCACATCATTTGAACCAATGCCAATGCAGATCCCGACATTTGCAAAAAGCACGGCCAGCACGGCGAACCCGAGCAGTCCCGGACTGCGCATTGTCAAAACGTTCAACGCGCGACCTTTATCTCCACAAACCTGAGAAAAATATTTATTTTAAAGCGATCTGTGCTTCACAAGTGCATCAACAACAACAAAAATGCAACAAAGGGGAAGCACGATGGTCTAAAAATGAGTTTATCAAAATACATCCGCGATTAGATGGCATTGCGCCTCTCACAATTGACACCTACGACGATACTTGAATTCCCGGTCTCTGAGGCCGCGGGCTGAGCAAGATATTGAAGCAGGAACCGAATGGGAACTCAACGACGACAGCGGCGCAGAATGCCAGTAAATGAGTGATGATAACATTCCCGATGAAGTGAAACGTCTGCAATCAGAGGCGACACGGGTTTTATTGTCGAGATAAACAGCGGTTATGACGTGGATATACCTGCATTCCGATGTCGAACTGCTTCTGCGTTTTGCTGCCAAATACACTCCACACTATCACATACCAATGTACGAGATAGCTAGAATAAGCGAGTTTCCCGAGAGGCTTGAAAGCTGACCAGCTCAAGAAAGAGTTGACGAATCCTAAGGACATTGAAAACATTATGAGTTAGCTCATTTTCAGATTTAAATAACGATTCCAATTACTCGAGAAAGATTCTTCCAGCTATGGAAAAATGACAGCAAGCCAACTGGAAGGTTGAGGCGAATTTGAAAAAAGAAATCATGCTTCACTTTTAATTTCTCTCACCCAGAGCGCCGGGGCCACACCCATATAACAAGGAGTAAACATGAGATAATGAGATAAAATTTTAGGCTATCAAATGGGCATAGGGAGGGAAAAGAAATAGCATCAAGAATACCCCCTCTCTCCCCAAAGACAGGAATGAACACGTCCCTGATTCCAGGAAAAACCCGAGCACAATTATTTCGCTAAATTAATCTTGGAATTAATTTAGCAAGGTCCCGCCGTAGAAATTAATTCCAAATACTGTAGGTTATCGCGGGTCAGACTGGTTGAGAATTTCTCTCTGCCATTACCTTTTAAAATATTTCTTCGGATACATGGTCAAAGAAGTTGAGCTGAACCGTTTTATATTAAATTATAAAGTTTCACGATATTGTAAATCACGGCTTATTGTATTACCTCCATAGCCTTTATGACAAAGGAATATCACGCAAAATAGTGCGCATCCCCAAGCTTGGTGATGCAAAGATCCGTAGACGATCGCCAGAGCCTCATTCATTTCACGGTCCCAATTGATGTATTCGTAAGTGCCATAAATGATCAGCAAGCCGACCGTGAAGGATAGAATCCAGCCAAGATGCACAGCAACCTAGATCATGCAAAAAATACCGGTAAGCTATTTACGACTTGTCGGGGCTTTATCTAATCAGTCACGTGCGGAGTGTGAACGAGAATAGTTCTCATTTTTAGGATGCGTCATTACAATGTCACGAGCGTTAACTTCATCGATTTTTCGAAGTCTGGTGAAGCTAACCATGTGTAACTTCACTCTCTTGTTTCGCATGATGTGGAAGACGTAACCTGCAAGTAGACCGACGACGTAAACGCCGAAACGGGTGTAGGGGCGATAGTAAACATAATCCATGAATTTGTCGACTCGCTCACTGAAATATAAAATTTCAGGAGATCGAAATTCAAGAGAATTTGCGGAAATTTCCTTCAGGATTACTCACTCGTTCAACACAGCATACGTCATGACTCCGGGAACTTCGTAGATTACATGTATCAAAGCAGGGACAACTGCTGACGCGATCAGAACAATGCCAACCCACACCATACCTTCGAAATAAACGCAGAAAATAAACATACTTCAGTACTATCATTGCTTACCGTGCAGTATTATGCCCCCATGATAATTTAAAAGTCAATTAAAATATATGAAATACAATTACTGCTATATTTTAAATTGAGTTCGATTGTCCCCTGTGATGACAGATTTTTTTTTTTTTAGAAAATCACGAACTTACAGTTGAGAAAGCAAAGTCGCAATAGAAAGCGTAGAATAACTGATTTCAAAATACTGTACATAATCTCATAAAAAGCAAACAATCACACATCCCGATTTAAAAAAAAATTATCGCGAGAACACTTGGAAAATGTGTAGTTCTTCAATATTTGCAAGAAATATCCATTTTATGGCTAATATAATGTCGGCCCTCCTTGAGCAATTTTTCATCTTCGACTTATCTTTTACTATTTAATCATCTGCGTGAAGGTAACCTGCCATTATATCCAAAGCAATCGAGGTTATTCTACAAATTGGAGGAGTAAGCGGATGCAAAAATTCCAAGAACGGAGTCGCTCGAAGTGTTCGCCGAAAAATTGATTTGTTACCCCGATAAAAGACGGGAACCTATCAGGATAAGGTAAATTTCCAAGTATCTGTACTTCGATTCCCCATCCTCTCGATCAGCGGAGCCGATACTTTCAATCGAAGAAAACAAAGCGGCCAATTTAAATTTTTTTTCAAGCCCCGTCGAATCTCTCCGATTGGCTGGTTATCCGGGGAAACGTTCATTTACATTTGTGTGATTTCAATACTGTTGTGCAGATACGGCATTAAATAAAGCTTTGCATCTGCTATAATAAATGTCATTAGAGTCTTTGATTATCCTTGCTATTTCATGCAAATGGTACTTTATATCAGCCTGGATAATCGAATTACCACTGTATCGCGTTGAAATTCGGAATTCTTACCTGCTTTCGGATATTTGAGCAACGGTACAACGATCAGCGGGGAAAAGACGAAGTAAATCATGTCATTTGTGAGAAACCAACCGTGCAGTACACACTAGAAAGAAGGCCATTCAGAGGTTTTAACTCGTTCCGCACTTGATAATCGAAAGGCTGCGGTTAAAAATTCCCAGGTGCTCACCTCCTGGGACGGGCTCAGAAGAGTGCTCACGTACAACAGATTGTGCCACCACTTGGTTGCGCAACCCTTGAAGAAATTTTCCCCGATGGTTGGCCACATTGGCCCACTGCCGATTCTTTCCATGAAAGCGTATGTGATCAACATAACCACAGCGTACAGCGGCGTGATGCTTTGAGAAAGAGCATAATTCATAGCTACATTATTTTATCCGACTAATTTTGTTCGGCTAAATATATTTACCGAAAAAACCGGTGCATGTATAGCTTCCCGAAAAACGAAAATGACAACCCTTGCTTCTTGAGACTCATAAGCATCATGTAAGAAGCCAGCAAGCCGCTCAGAAAGAAAAATGTATCCACACTGGGATACGCGTTGATGATTGGTTGTGACCAAAAATTTCTCAAATCCTATAGATTTAAACAAAAAATGATGATAGAATAATTAAAAGCTTACACAGGTCTTTCATACCGTGAAATAAGTGAGCGGATCAGTGTGGAATGCTCGACGGGCATTCGAGTAAGTATGCCCTAGAAGTACCCACAGCATAGAAACGAATCTGGAATTGAAAGAACGTCCCAATAAACTCAGAAGTTGCTGAGTGTAGTTTCCAGCGAAACACGGATATTCATCAGGGAAATGTTAGTCAACTTTTAAAGAGCAATCTTCTGCGATGAAAGTAATGCATACTGAAAGGCTAAATTATGTCTCAAATAATGCTAAAATTCAAGTTTAATTTAATAATTTTGAAAGAATGACAAGATTTTACTGTACATATGCCGTATTGCTTTTGTTATAGCTATAAACGATATGGCATGAATAGATTTTTAAAATGTTTCAAAAATGGCGAAAAATTGTCTTTCATGTGTGTACTGTGCATAGTCTCAAAAGTTTTGAACAACGGAAAGCTGCTCTCAATTCTAAGAAAACATCAGGATTTCCTTCATCGGACTTTAGATTCAGCATTTTAGCATTTATATCATTTAAATATCGATGCTTGAAAATTGGTCCAAATTTCTTGCGCAAAATTTCCTGTAGACCCAAAAATCCGTAAAAAGATTTAAACCCCCTATTTTACTCCTGTGGATAGACGTTTTAACGCGATCCTCATAATTAATATCCGTCGATGTGCAATATTCACCTCATTCCAAAAATGCAGTCAATCACATTTGAATTCTTTTTTTGCTTTCCATTTGTCTCTGTATCCAATATTAATTTGAAATTTTTCGGGATCGAAAACGCCTTCATGCACCGAACCGCTGTCGATTCAGCGACCAGCATTACTTCGGGCTCTTGAAAAAAATCAAAAATGTATTGTTTAAAATCGAGGAATTTCACATTGAGCATTCACCATTTCGATTTCTATGTCTGTCGTAGAGATCCTTGATCGTTCCAGCAATAAGTAAGAGGACGAGACAAGCTAGAAAAACGCTGTAAGTTACATGCGTAAATGCAGCATCACAGGAAATTCCACAGAAAAGTTAACCCCGACTTACGTCATAATTATTTCCAAAGTTGAAAATGGCTTTCCTTCACTGACGGAGCACGTGGAAACAGCGCTTTGAACGCCCACGGAAGCTCGCAAATACTCGGGAACAAATTTCTAGAATCATTATCAGGGCTGTGACTTTTGCTGTGAACCATGTATTCCAACTTACTTGAAGCATATTCTGAGTGCATGAGTCGGGGAAACAAGCCCCGGCCACCACACACAGATCGCAAACGGGCCCGAAAACAATGCTCGTCGTCGGCTCCTCGATCGTGTCGTTAACCAAACTAAATTTCAAAATCCAGATACAAAAATATACGGTTTGGATCACGCATTCGCTATTGGCATAGCCTCCAACCGAAATATGACCGGGGAAAGTCTGAGAAAGCCGCGGAACTCACGCAATCGTCAACAGGCAATATTTTCCTCGAAAACTCGTGGCCTCCAGCTGTGTTACGTTATCAGGCGTTATGCTGTTGGCTTCCGTGGCATTCGTTCTGAGGCACTGTTCGAAGTTCCCGAAGTTGAAGAAATTTCCCCTTAGGAAATTCGAGGACGGGGATTTTAAACCGGAAGCGTCAATCACTACAGATACAGAAGCACGAAGAAAGAAATTTGAATGCTCCCGCAGCTCCAAATTGGTTGATCATACGCACTATTCACGACCCATTCCGGTGGTGTTTCGAGACGCGTCGGGGGCGGGATTTTTACCTCCAACTGCTGAAGAATCCTTTGTACTTGCTCAAATGATTTCGGTTTGACTCTTCGGAAGAAGAGATGCCTTTCTTTTTCATCTATCGATGCATCGAAAAATTCTTCTGGTACTCGTAAACTTCCTAAAACTCTATTTCCGGCGGTCACACTGATTTTGATAGCACTTGACGAGACAGGTTTCACAGTGGCACTTTTTGCCACTGATATGCCAGCATCCATCATCAGATTCGACAAACTTTCTTGGAATATGACTTCCTCGTTCTCATCAGTGATGCTCACATGTATTATAGTTCCGGGATCCCTCAAAGGAAGTGTTGCAGTCACCATCTCCAATAACTCACCGACTGTGGCATTGACGAAAACTGTACCACCGAATGAAATTATGATTTGCTCATCGCCTAAATCTTCAGCCAGATTCTCAAGATGATAAGCGTACCAGCCGAGATCATTCAAACACTGCTGCTCTGACAAATTTTTGACTTCTGGCGGCTTTGTGTCGTGAAATCCGCCGCCATCTACTCCTCCCGCCATCGCGAACGTAACAGTCAAACATGCCACTGCTGATCGCCATTTTTTAACGCTCATTTTAACCTGCTGCATATAATCGTATCACGTCTTCAACATTTTACCGCAGAATTCTAAAGCAATTTAAATGAGGATATAGAACATACTTTCGCAAAAATTAAATACGAAGTCCGTCAAAATATTCAGGTGTGGCTTATACAGAATAATTTTAGCATAAATAGCACTGAAGTCTCACAGTTCGGTATGCATTCGATGCATCTTCAACAAAAGCGACTTTTCAAATTTAAAAAATGACCTCCGTTCTTCCTCTGCAGGCCTTTCATCTGTCCCTTGATCTCATCGGGTAATAACCTCAAAATAAGTCTGTTACTCAACTTGTATCCTGCTGTACTCCACTTTTGGTGTACTGTATTCGTTCTTGTCAACAATATTCCGAGCAGGTTTTGCTGCTGTGTACGAAGCAATATCCCGCAAAGTTTCCATTTTTGGCTGTTCGTACAGTTCAGTATTTTTGCTTGAATGCTCAAAATCAAGATGTGGCCTAAAGTTTTGCAAATATAAAATTAATAAATTCTCTCATTCGAAAGATCGAATTTGTGGGAGAAAATTGTTTACTGCCAAGATCACACAAGCCCACGCGAGTTCACTTCCTGACTACTGGTTATCTACTATCCGTGGGCCACACGAAAATTCGTGGGCCTTTTTAGAATCCTCGTGTTACAAAGTATCGTAGCATTTTGAAAGATTTATTGCACGTGAACCTTCGAAAAGATAACTGGGGAATTCGCGGTTGCATTACGGATTTCGACTTGATTTGGAATCTGCTGCTGTAATACGATAACTTGTTCAAGGTTCCATTTAAAATGTATCGGGGAACTTCATTGTTATCGAAATTTTATTGCTTCCTGCATATCTTCGTCGGATTTCGGAGTCTATAGTACCAGGGTTCAACATATTTTTTTCACGTCCACACACAAACGTCTTTCAACGAGACACGTGACTCGAATGCGCAGAATAAAATGTCGATTATCTGTTGAATGAGAGGAGATTCGTCATCTCAAACCCAAGCCTCCCGGTATGAATTTAAAGAAAATTCCAAGATAAGCTTCATTTCACACCCAAGAAACGGAATGAAACAGGACCTGGTGGAAGTAATTAAGCGATTGTATATTTGCTGACGTCGGATGATTCGCATTCCGAGATACAGGAAGCCGAAGATCAGCAGTGATGGAAGTCGTTCTTCCCTGAATTATGCCGTTATATGAATAATTCATCGAAGAAGCGTCAGTATCCGTTCTTGCTGATCATATCATTATTCAAAGTTTGACGGACTTCTCTTCTCCACCGTTCCTGCCTGAAACTCCACTGCAAGTTGCCCGTGAGTCCTTGACTACCAAACGCCACGGCGGAGTGGGTGCTGGGTCTTTCGTTCCACAGGTGCTTTCGCCTAGACAAGCCCAACCATGGGCCCTTATTAATACTGTCTGCAGGTTCGAAGTTTTGTCCAGTTGCCGTTCGCTGAGTTTGCTGAGCCAGTCACGACCGAGGAAGTCAGCGCCAGAAGTGACTAAGACGCAGAGGTTTTTTTTACGACTCCTTGATTTCAGGACTTCGTGCCGTCGGGAAATTAGAAAATGTAATGCACCAGTAAATAATAAATAAAAACTGCCCGCGAGTAATTTATTCCGGATGGAAAAACCTTCCCGTTTGGTATATAAGCCGGTGATTCATCACGTAACACCAGTGGACGCGAGACCAACTGGCAGTTCGTGTTACGATAACAGTCGAAGTGCTTGAAAAGCCGGTGGCCAAATTCCGGAACCTAGTTTCCGCATATTTCTTTCTTTCTTGGGTTGCAGTTCACATTTGTTAAAGCAATTCTAAATTTAATAAGCCTATAATAGCAAGTGCAGGAAACGCGGCTTCGAATTGTCGAACGCAAAAAAAAACTGTAATCTTGTAATCCCGGAAGGGGTACCCGAAACATGTTTCGCAGCATATCGGCTACTCCCGTTTATATTCTGGTTTTCGTCATACCTTTTGGAAGAATTCATATAAAATACGGAAATTGCGATCACTTTAGTTCAGTCTCTTCTGTGCTATGCGAAGGTATTGAGCAGATTTCATTCTTTACTTTTTTTAAAACTGTTACGCAACATTGATGAAAATGTTCACTCATGTGCGTGGAGTGATAAACGATGTACGATTAATTTTAGAAAACTCGAGGCTCAACCGTTGTTGTTTACAGACATTGTGTTGTAGACTACTTGATCCGAAGTATAGTGGGAAGTGGTCTTATCTCGTGATCTGATTTCTGGGTTCATCGAATCCGTTTGGTCTACTTGTGCGAAGTGGAATCTGTGATCGTGAAATTTTATATTTTCGAAGCTGTATCCCGTGAAGAGAACAGATAACGCTAATTTACTTTCAGCACTTTAATAATGATGATTTTCTGGCAATCGCCATCAATTGGAATACTATATTTTCAGACAAGCAGAAGTGTGGGGGTATTCAGATTGAATCGTTTCTTCACTTTCTCGGAAAGAGTCGAGGGAAAGAAAAGATAAGAAAACGGGGGTTTGGGGAAGTTCTTTTCTGCTGATGATATACGAATGGAAAAATACCGTAAGACCGACGGTCTTCTCATTTTGCGTTTTAACTCCCACTTGCAATGATTCAAGGTTTTAGTTGAGATTTCTAGAAGACTCGGATATTTTGAGCAAAACTCCGGACTGAACTAAATTTTTTGCACGTGTACATGTGACGTGAGTTGGAATTCTGGGTATCGCAAGCTGACTGAATTCATTAATAGTCATTCTCAACCCTATCGCATGCTTCGTTATGCTCATTAGTATACCGGAAGGGTCTATCGCTATGACCAGTCTAAGCTTCGTTTCAGGCTTTTCCATATCAGTTTTTTCCGACTGCGGATGTCGAGCCTGCACTCGATCCCTTGAACCATGTCTCTGGCATTCTTCCACGTAGACCGAACAGTTTGTGTTCTAGTATTTTCCTAACTTTTCCTTCATGGTCTCTTCGCTCGCGCTGTGTGTTCGGCTGTTATTCTTTTGCAAATTTTCGAAATGACAATTGCTGGCATACTCGCCTTTCAGGTGCACTATCGCAAAGTTTTTCGCACTAACTTATTAAAAACTGTTGTCGGAAATATGGCGGATGCGGTGAAAGCTGATGAGAATGTCCAGTCGCTGAAGAATCTCGCCCACAGATTACGTATTCTTTCCATTGATGCTACCAACAAATGCAATTCTGGGTGAGTTTGAGAAAATATTTTTCCGAATTCAAGGGTAGATGCAGTAAACGGCATTTCATGATCATCTTGAGATGATCCGCATGATATTTGATACTCCCAGGGGTTTTGTAGATATCATACATTTGTTCGTTCAAGTCGAAGGATTAATTCCTAGGTTTAAAAAATGAAGCTGCACACACATTCGAATTAAAATCGATCTGAAACTCGAGATGCCCTAATATGCGTTCGTCTCTCAATAGTCATCCAACATCATGCAGTTCAATGGCCGAGATCGTTTCTGTCCTGTTTTTCAATGAAATGCGCTATAAGCTATCCGAGCCGAGAGACCCGGCTAGTGATAGATTTATCCTGTCGAAAGGTCACTCCGCCCCAATCCTTTACGCAGGTAAGTGTTGCTTGAATTCCCATGCTTTGCCTAACCTTATGTCCGTTGCACCATGTTTTCCTTACAGCATGGGCTGAAGCCGGTCTGTTCCCGGTTTCTGATCTTGATAATTTGAGGAAGCTGGATTCGGATTTGGAAGGACATCCCACGCCAAGATTGAACTTCATTGATGTCGCTACTGGTTCGCTTGGACAAGGACTGGGCGTTGCTGCTGGAATGGCTTACGTTGGAAAATATCTGGACAATGCCGATTTCAGGTACTATTGTCGGACATTGTTGAGAATGTGATGCGAGATTACGCGGTGGAGCGTACATCTCGCCTTGGGTATGGAAATCCACGCGATTATCCCTTGCCCACGTACTTGAGAGAGTACATGTTGTGTAGATATACACAAATTAAGCCGATCATCCCGGATTAGCAAAGGAGGGGTACATTTTCTTGAATGTTCAGGCACTGTGAGAACCATGGTCGGCCAAACATTTTGTCCTCTCGAATTCCGTATTCTAATTTCGGAAAATATTTAACTGGACATATTCACACTTACGTTTTAGTACTCCCCTTTCTGAGATTAAAAGATTGTGCCTGATTCATTGACTTGATTCTTCCGGGTGTCTTCGGTAGGACTTATTGCTTGATTGGTGATGGAGAATCTGCCGAGGGTTCCATTTGGGAAGCGCTGAACTTCGCATCGTATTACAAATTGGACAATCTCGTCGCCATTTTTGATGTCAATCGATTGGGCCAGTCTGATCCAACATCTCTTGCTCATGATATGGACACTTACAAGAATCGCTTGGAAAGCTTCGGGTTTCATGCTCTCGTCATTGACGGTCATGATGTTCAAGCGTTATTGTCGGCATTCCAAGAAGCGAAACTAACAAAAGGAAAGCCCACGGCTATTATCGCGAAGACTTTTAAGGGGAAATACTTTCCGGAGATCGAAGACACTGAGGGATGGCACGGTAAACCATTGGGTGAAAGAGGACCAGCTGCCATTGAGGTACTGATGAGCACGTTAAAATCTTTCCGATTATATTTCTATGCTGAAATTATCGAGTTCTTATGCAGGCAATCAAGAAGCTAGTCACAGATTTCGATTTCAAGCCAGTCCCGGCTGCACCATCTGAAGCCAAGTTACATCCAGTGGATGCAGCGAACATTAAGTTGAGCGAGCCCCCAGCATATAAAGTAGGGGACAAGGTTGCCACCAGAGTTGCCTACGGAACGGCCTTGGTTAAATTGAACTCGGACCGTGTTGTTGCACTCGACTGTGATGTAAAGAACTCGACATATTCTGAAAAGTTGCGAAAGGTCAGTTTCAGCCTAATTATACCTATTTTCTTAATCATGATACTAATACTTCTGACAACAGATCAATAAATTGCGGCACATCGAGTGCTTCATTTGCGAGCAGAATATGGTTGGCGTGGGCGTTGGAGTCGGATGTAGAGGTCGCACGATTCCATTTTGTTCCACATTTGCTACCTTTTTTACTCGAGCCTATGATCAAATCCGAATGGGAGCTATTTCGCAAAGCAACCTTAACTTCGTCGGGTCGCACGCTGGTGTGAGTATTGGTGAAGATGGCCCGTCTCAGATGGGGCTCGAAGACATCGCTCTCTTCCGCACAATTCCGAATTGCACTGTGTTCTATCCGTCGGATGCTGTATCGGCGGAAAGAGCCGTGGAACTTGCAGCTCAGTTGCCGGACATGTGCTTCATCCGGACTTCGCGACCGAATACAGCTGTTCTCTACGACAACGCCGAGCTCTTCGAGGTTTAAAAAACAAATAAAACTTTTGATTTTATGAAGCCATGTTATGCTTGGGAGTTGAGAGATATTTTCGAAAAATTTTAGGCAAATAAGTTCATCTAACGGATTTGGATTCGGGTAGTTTAATTTTATTCCAGTCAATATTATATTGAATTTTCACATCAAATTATAATTTTCAACGCCTCCTCTCTGTACGAATACGGGGCGAAATCATTCAAATCTCGTTTTCCTTTCACTTGAGAAATTTCATGTTTTTTTGCGCAGGTTGGTAAAGCAAAAGTGGTCAAAAAGTCGGAAGATGATAAAGTTTTGGTCATCGGTGCATGCGTTACCCTGGAAGAAGCTCTCGTTGCTTTTGACAAGCTCGCTGGCGAAGGCATCCACATTCGAGTTATGGATCCATTCACGATCAAGCCAATTGACGCTGCAGGAATCCTAGCTAATGCCCGAGAATGTGCTGGAAAGATCATTACGGTGGAGGATCATTACCCAGAAGGTGATGATCAGCACCAAGTTTTGATCTAGAAAATGTGTCGGCTTTATTCAATTTTACGATTATTTTAGGTGGTTTGGGAGAAGCAGTTCTATCGGCTGTTGCGGAGTGTCCGGACATCATAGTGAAAAAGCTGGCTGTCCCAAGGATTCCAAGATCTGGACCTCCAGCTGATTTGATGGATCTGTACGGCATTTCTGCAAGGAGTATTGTTGATGCGGTCAAAAGCATGATTTAAAATATCGAGCCAAAAAGACGGCATCTTTATATTTTATCTCGGAGAATTTCTTAATTCATCAAATATGTTGTACGATATTCAAAAATGTCTCCCTGTGAGTGAAAACTCGGATATTTGAACGCGCTTCAATTTCGCACTCCCATTTTGTCTCATTTTGGAATGGCTTGAATATACCAACGGTCTCTTCATATCTGTTCTTATTTTCACTTCTTGACAAAACTATCTCGCGCATACGTGAGCAGATCTACTAGAGAAGGATGCATTGCCATGCTGTACAATATGTGCAGGGTCTTTTAAAAAATTTCAATTAGATTTTTTCGGTTAATGGCCGGAAATGTGTTAAAACTTCGACCGAGATATTTATCTTTCAGTTTGAATTTTTGAAGAGTTTAAATTTGCAAAACGACGTTCAAAAGAGTTGGTAAAATAATTTGAAAGGCTTGCATGATTCAACCATGCCGCTATCCGCGATTTTGAAAGCTAAAGAAGTACAGAAATTGCCAATTTTCGAGTTTAAAAAATTGGTAAAACAATTTTTTTCAACCGATTGATTATTGAAAGTGCTAGCCTGTTAAAACGTGAAATTTAATGGAACTTTCACTATTCATCAGGAATACAACTCTCAAGGTGAATGTATTGGTGTGTGCAAGTATTGTGATGTGATATTAACCTGTAATTTCTCGACCCGTTCGGACGAAAGAAATTTCGGTCCCATCCGCTCTGGGGGTTTCCGAAAAAAAAAATGTTCGCTTTAGAAAGGAAAAGTCAAAGGGTTGGTCAACAATGGTCAGCAGATTCGGTTGGACCGGAGAGGGCTTCAGTTTCCCGGAAATTTTCCGCCACTGAGGATATTTTTTTTACCTCAGCACTTCTTGCTCAAACGTCTAGCCACAGGCATTGTCCTCGTGATTCACAGTAGGTTAAGAGCGAACTGCGCCCTTCAGCCTTGTGTTGCTTTGGTGCTGATGAATATTTCCCAGTAGATGTCGTACGTGCGCCTTCTGTGGCATTCAATCCAGTTTAAAGGAAATTTAAAATCTCCTTTTGATTATTCGAAGTGCCGAAAAAGAGTTCGATGAATGCGAGCGACAAACTTTTCTCTCTTCAATACCTGCGCGGCGCTGCAATTTTTGAGAAGTGACATCTGTAAACAATATTGAATAGCACTTTTTTCCTGTAGATCACATTGAAACCACGGTGACGAGCGCACGTGTTTGGGAAGTTCTGCGTACTGTAGTGTAAGTATCATTTGTACGGTATTAGCTCGACTCGCTGGCCAGGAGTCTTCAGGTCATCACCTGGGACGTGAAATATCCTCCACCTTGACCAATGGCATGTGTTGGCCAAGAACACAAACGCGATGAATTGCTACGGATGAGCAGTCGCATAAAAACTATTCTGACGTGTCGTGCTCAAAGCTCATATTCGGTGACAGAAATCTCCTATTCACGTTTAGAGGACCCGTCTTGCATTTAAGATGTTCGACTGATCGCAAAAGGTCCTGCCCTCGAGGGCTGAGGTTTTTCAATGTTTATGCCTTACCTTTAGAGTTCTGACCAGGCAGCAAAAGGGAAGGGGTATTTTCACGTCAACCTTGTTGATTATGCAGAGAATCACAGCTCTTGTATCTTGGAACAAACTTATGCTGCCTTCCGAGAAGCATTATGCTTCAGAGCTGGTTATATAAATCCTGCAGCCCGAAAAAGGTACAAAGGAATTGTTTCTTTCCTCCGTGCCAGTCATTCGACAGGAAGCCTAGGTGAATACCTGTTCTGTGAAGTTGTCTTCGATCACCGAACTTGAAAATCTTCGAAGGTGAGCCTCATTAAACGTATTTTTCGAAGTTCCTGTCACGATGACTCGCGAGTCAACCGCATTTTTGTTGTTTTTGTGATCAATGCACTGATTTGGACTCGTTGAGGGAAGACTAACAGCCTCATGTTCGATTTTATCTTTTATTCGAATCAATTGTCCCGTCTTGAAAACCTCTCCTGTAATTCGATTCGATCAACAGTTGAAGTGTAGGTCACGGATAAATTTCACGCTCGGTTTCGCTCTACGCGGAATCAAATACTGTACTGTACAGTGAAGTGCATCAGACACGAAAATACTATCTGCAAGGAGTATTTTCGTGCAAGTTAGTATTTTCATATGTTTTCTCTAATTTTTTAATGGCAGACAACTTCGTTTAACCTAGAAACACCATCCTCTTATGATTTTTTTTCTTCTTATGAGTCGAACGTTTGCTGTAATCAAAGATCAGTGATTCCGACTCCGTGTGCTTCAATAATTTTCTGAAAGTGCTCCTTTAATGAGTTATTTGAAAAAAAAAAACTCGAGTGAATGGATAGAGAGAACTGAGTAATGACACATTCCGGTGTAACGTTCTGTTGGATCAGATTTGTCTCAAAAAGTAAATTCGTTTGAGTGGGTTGGAAAGGTCGTTCTTACGGTGAAAGAGATCCAGCTGTAAATTGAAAGCATTTAAAATTAAGAAGTTCATCTGCGCATTTCTTTCTGTAATTCAGATGTAATGTGTTGAACTAGATACAGTACATTCTGATTTCAACAAACTCGGCGCGAGGGCATTAAAAACCGTTACTGTATTGAAGGAAATTCGGTATTCGAGATCCTCTCGATAAGATATTTGCATCAAGAATGTAAACAGCAAAGTAATCGTTAGCTTTCCTTCCTTAAAATCAAGACTCACATATTCAGAACTATGGTTATTCTGGGGAACAACTTGTTTCCCCGTCTGGATTTCGCTACTTTTGGGATACGACTGTATATTGGTGTACAGTAAATTTATCCTGGGTTCAAAGTACAGTGCAGTACTTTGTCGGCTATTCTTTTCACTTGCATGAAGCTCATCCATGTATGCACAACTGCACATCATAGTTTATGCCTATTCTCTATTTCAACCTCAACAGAACCTTTCAATCAAACTTTCCACATCCTTTTAGTAAGTTTTTCGTTTTTGCCTCGAACACGTTTTTTTCCAGCCTGAGTATTACGAAATCGGGTTTCACCTTCTCGGCATTTAATCTCGCATCACCCCGAGAGGCTTCCCTATAAAGCATGTGGTACGTTAACCATTGGTTGATATGTCTCATTTTGCAAGAATCGGTGCCATCTTCATTATAACAATTTCCTCAATTCTGAAGTTTCCTGCTGGAAATTTAAACTAAATTTTCTACCTTCGTTGTAGCAGAAGTTTAAAGAATGAATTACGGTAATATTGATTGAGTATACAATACCTGTCTAGGGACTAAAGACTTGATATAAGATATATTGTAGGAATTTACTTGTTATGACGAGATTCATCTGTGCTGAGAGGACGGTATGTCTGCTTTTAGGGATTATGTCTAAAACACGGAAATAAAAACCCCTCTCGCTCGTGAACATTTCCCTGGAAACATTTCCATAATCAGTTCAGTGTGAAATTCACAAGCTGGACGAACTTCTCTATAGAAGATACAAACAGATCTTCGTCTCCAGGTGCAGGAATCAGACACAGATGCATCGCTTGCGTGTGTTGCTGACAGTATCTCACAAATGCCCGACACGGGTCGCGCGTGGATCCGAGCTTTCGTGCTGGTCAAGTCGCGCGCACTACCAGGGTCTTCGCTTTGCCGCATGCATCGACGGGATTCAACACAGGGCTTCTTATCGCACGACCGCCCAATGTTTTGGCAAGGATTGCAATGGTGCCGTTCGGGTGTCAAATACCGCCGCGAGCGTACTCGACACCATCCAAGAGACGGATATTGCCACGAGAAAATCGCCGTCGGATTCCGCGGCGAATATGGCTTTACTTGAGGAAATCCTTGGACCCCATCCCGAAGGCACCTTCGCGGCACGCCACGTCGGACCGCGGGAAGGTGACCAGAAGGACATGCTCAAATACCTCGGATATCAGGTGAGGACAACAGCTTTTTTCCTGTGCCCTTAGGCAGGGAGTCAAGGCTTCATCGGATATTGCTCCATAATTTCAAAAAATTTCCATAAACAAAATTTGGGACTGTCTTGAAAGGAGGATATACCTACGCATTTTGTTGCAATTACATTTTATTGAGATACCATTTCAATCAACAGCATTCTTGGCCTAGGAAATCAGCATACCTATAAAATATATTATCCAGAACAATGCCTCTCCAGCACAGCGATTTTCTAGACTTTTTGCTCGTCGTCAATTTTACCACTTTCAAACCAGCACGATAAGCTCAACAGGATTCATCCTTGAATTATTTTCTACGGTCTGGTATCTTTTTCAAAAAATTTCAAGTTTAAACAGAAACCTTACCTTTTATCTAAAACCGGAACAACCGTAATCCGTCCAACCTACGATCAATTCTCCGGCATGGGGATTACACCTAAATTATGCGTAAACATCAAGAAAGCGTAATCAATGTAGATCAACATCCATGAAAATTTACATTATAATCATGGAATCATAGCATGCGCTGGTATACTCGTAAGACAAAGTAATTAAGTACTGTGTGGATATGAAGGTTTATCGCATTATACACTGGATTTTTCAATATTGGTGATGGAATGCTAAACACTGATAAATATTCCTTTTTCTGACGCTATATGTATTTATTTATTTATTCAATGCATATTTAATGTAAATAACAAAGGAAAAAGTCGGATAATGGATTCATTCTTAAAAAGAAAGCGCATTTCCCCTTAGAAACCACATACAATAAATTCCCGACATTATTCACTGTGACTTCATACAGTGGTCTCAGTTGGCCAGCTCTTTCCATCGAAAAGATCTTGCGGGTATACGTAAAATTTGTTGCCACGGTTTATTAGAATTACGAAGCCAAATTTTGATGACGTGAAGATTTATCACGTTATTTTTTTGGGGAAACTGCTGTTCCAGGAACAGAACCTGGTTGACATTCTACGTGTACCCAGGTGATGATTCTTTTTCTCGGTCCTTTTTTCTCTGTTCTAATCAGAATAACATAAAACTTGATTTCCAGTCTTTGGATCATCTGGGAAGGCGGAGAGCTAGGAAGAATTTTAGCTGATAAATTCTCGTTCAGGAATTGTCGCTCTGTCTTTTCGCTCAGAGTCGATCGATTCAGGAAATCGTTCTCGTGGCATTGATCTTTTAGCTGGGAAACGTGTTCGATCTACTCAAATGGCGGGGGATACACAGATAACGCCGTCTTAAACGCCAGGCCACCGTTTAATCGTCGCGTAGATCGATCCGTCCCTAGGTCGTTTCCGATTCCAAGTTCCCTTTGATGTATTCGGTCCAGGGAAGCCGGAAATGGCTATCTGATGCACTTCCGCTTTTGACCACAGCAAAGCGAGAGGTGTGTCCCGAATAAGCATTCAAATCAGTCGAAGGTGGTTCTGTAAAGGAAGTAACAATCGTCGACTCGGAAAGAAGCGCCAGGGTTTATTCATTGAATGCTTGACGAGAAGACCTTGCGAGCGACTTGCTTGCGCTAACTCAATAATCTGATCTCGTCACTGATGTACAAAACAGCCCCACGGACAGAATTCCTTCTATGACGCGTTTTTCCTTTGCTTCCCTACTCCACACTTATCGAAATACTGCGCTCGGAAGATAAATAAGGAAGCTTTGGTATAATCCAGTTACATCATGCCTCACGAACTCGGCTACTAAAAGCATCTCACGTTATTTTATCCATGTAAATATCCTATCTGTCGCTTAATTCTCTCATTTAAGTTTCTGGTTTCGATGTTCGGCGTTCCTTGAGTATTACGGACTTTCTCTCGCTTTAGCCTCCAAAAGCGGTCACCTTAACGTTTTGTTAGATTTGGACCATATACTGATCACATAAGGTAAAACCATGATTATCCCGGCTTGATTTAACCGCGCGCAAATTCTAACTAATTGAGAGGAAGCGAAACCTGTATCATGTGAATTTTACCCACCTCATTTCCATCTAATAGGATTTAATTTGGAATGATTTTGACTTACGTGGGTCCATTCAGGTAACTAATAAGTCATCATATGAAGTCTTGAGAAAATTTAAATCGGCAATTTTAGTGATACTATAGATGATTATCGGTGATCTATTATAATTTTAATGGAGGCGCATAGTTGTTAGCCCGGCTAGTTGGAGTTGATTTTTAAAATTTATATTATTATTTAATATATTTAGATTCTTGTTGAAACTATATAAGCACTTCGTACGAGCAACGCCTCCGCACTTTCCGCTACTTTTGCTTATTGATCCCGCATGAATGTCAATTGGGTCAATGAAACAGGTTATGTAATGTCATGATTCTCTTCGTTATCTGTCAAATAATACATGGCAAAATCTTAACTGTGCCAGTTAACTTTTAGCTGACTTCCATACTTTTTGCCGTCCCTCTGCGTGTTTCCAGATTTTGAGGGAAGAGGTTCCGCGGAAATTGATAAGGGAATTTATTTTTATGATTTTTTATTTTTATTTGTGCGACGGATTCTTATCCTCCCAGAGAGGCCTTCTCTGATGTATGTGCTGGCTTTTTGTATTCACAGGCCATGGAGGATTTCATTCGTGACACAGTCCCCCAGAGCATCAGATTGAGAAGACCGCTACGCCTTCCGGAACCCATGTGTGAGATGAAGTTCGCTCTTTCGAAGCCTAACATTTACTTTCTTCCCCTCTGATCGCCCTTGACCCCGTGGGAATAATTCGCTGATTTTAATGCGCAGCGGAAAGCGAGCTTACTGCCCTTGCTCAACGGACGGCGAGCGAGAATGATTTGTGGAAGTCTTACATCGGACTCGGCTATCATGCGTGCCACGTACCGCAAGCAATTTTCAGAAATATCTTCGAGAACCCCGGCTGGTAAGATGAATCTCCTGCCGTGGCCAGGCTATGCACGCTTCATCACCGATAACTGTACCGTTTTCAGGACGACTCAGTACACACCATATCAGCCGGAAATATCACAAGGCAGATTAGAAGGTCTACTCAACTATCAAACGATGGTAACGGAGCTGACGGGGAAACCCGTTGCGAACGCTTCGCTGCTTGATGAAGGAACAGCTGCTGCTGAGGCAATGGCCCTGTGTGTTAGGTGCGTACCCTGAACTTAAGCTGTCGCAGAAATTCGAATCACTTGCACGCGGAGCTAAATTTCCCTTTCCTTTCAAATAGAAAATAAACTCAAATTGTTTGATGTAGTTTTTTCGGAAAATTCCGTAAAATCTTGAATGGAAGTCTAAGCCAGACGGCTATCGAAGAGTTCGCAGTTACAACACCAAATAAAAAAAAAAAACTTTGCTTTCTTCATCTTTTTCGGAGTACAATTTTCACGAAGAACTTCGCGCATTTTGACGCATGAAACTCGCTGCGTTGAATCTTTAATTTTGAATTTGGTTGAAATCAACGGGATAACTAGTATTGCTTCTCAGCACGTCAGAACTGCTTCTGTACCTGTTCCTTGCGCTGACTAAAGTGACAACTTTCAATTCTGTGTATCGTCAAATTCTTAAAGTTTTTCTAATCACCTGAAATGAATTGGTGCATGTAACAGCAAACCCAATTAGTTTGGATTAGTTCGTTGGTTCGGAACTTGTCGTATGGGACACGGTTTCGACCCTACAAATATTCGGGCAACAAATTAATTTATTCCTTGAAAAACGCGACTTGCATTGTGCTGGAACGTTTTCTATTGGGATATTGGGACAATAAGAAATTCCAGCCCAGGGGAAATTATGATATGATTTCCCCGGGGCTGAAAATTTCGCCGCAATTTTTGATTTCATGCCGGAGAGAGGGATCCTTTTCGTCTTCGTAAAGTAAAAGGAAAAATCCGGCGAGAACCAAATATTGCGTGCGCCGTATTATCCGGTAGAAGGCATCAGGCCATTCACCGGAATGCACTGAAGAATATACTGGAGTATAATCTGATTTCACTTTAATCCATTTTATTGTATCATTTTCACGTGATCATAGATCTCACACTGAATCTAGGTATTTAATCTGAGGAATATAAAGAGAAATTGTCACGTTAAAAAAAATCGGGAAATACACATGCAAAATTTATATAAAGCAAAAAAGAAAAAAAGAAGAACGAACGCACCTGACAGTCAAATGAAGCCCTTGAGAAACATAACGAGATTAATGAGCAGGCGGCAGATCTTTGCGGAATAAGACAAGAGTTGTTTCATGATTGAATTTGGATTTCCTTTTTATCGGATGCCAATTATTTTTGCAGATATCATTATCGTCAGCTTCGGCCGCAACCGAATTTTTGAAGAACTACGTTTAAAAGATAGACTCTCATTGCGCGAATTCCCTATTCAAGTTCAGATAAGCAGAACTTTTCCAAAAAATTTCACTCTATAATCGATGAGTCAAAGTATAGGCCACACCACCGTCACGTTTTTGCGTACCATAGCAGTACTTGAAATCATGATGCCAACTGTATATGTTTGACTACGCTCAAACTTTCGAAACAGACATGTTACGCAGCACTTCGAAGGGTTTCAAATTGAAGCTATTTGGGGATTTCTCTTGTTGCTAAAGTTTCAACATTTTGAATCCGGAAAAGTTCAAGTTTTTCTTCTGACGCAAGTCATATTTTCTCCAAAAATTTACCGCTGAATTTTTTTTTAGTTTCTGTTCGAAGTCCATACGCATCACGTAGGTAAGGTATTGTATGACTGTACAGTACTGCCAGCCCTTGTAGAATTCAGTTGCTTTCCATGTGAATTTTTCTGTTTGTCTAACACTACTAAACCGACGCGTGCAGACAAACACGCAGAACGAGGTTCGTCGCATCGACACGCGTGCACCCGCAGACGCTGGCTGTGCTGCGGACGCGGGCCTCTGACATGGGGATTACTCTGGACGTTCGGGCGGTACAATTTATGGACTTCGAGTCGAAGGACATCGCGGGTGTACTTTACCAATATCCGGACACGGAAGGAAAGGTCAAAGACTTTTCCGAACTAATCGACAAGGCGCACAAAAATGGGGTTGGTTCACTTTTCGTCCGCTCGTGTGATCTGCTTGTCTGATACGGAGTCGCTTTTCATGAACTGTCGAATCCACACACACACACACACACACACACACACACAGGCATTGGTTTGCTGTGCGTCGGACTTGCTGGCACTTACTCTCCTCAAGCCACCCGGTGAAATGGGAGCGGATATTGTGTTCGGCAATAGCCAGCGTCTTGGAATACCAATCGGCTTCGGCGGGCCTCATGCTGCATTTTTTGCCTGCTCTGAGTCGTTGGTTCGTCTCATGCCCGGCCGCATGGTCGGCGTAAGCATGTAAGAGAGTTTTTTCTTACGTGCTTCTTTTTTTTTGAATAATGTACGTCTATTGTTGACCTGGCGCAGTGCATTTCTTTGGAATCTAGAAAATTATCATTTGCTTACGCAATTACGTTCAATTTTTGTTTTCTGACAGGTTTGAATTGCATAAACAGATATACAGCGTCATATAATTTTCAAGTGATGACATTCTTGTGCAGCTACAATAGTTGTAGCAAAATGTCTGAACGCCACGCAAGATCGAATGCAGTTGATTTGAAAATTGAATCAATTTTGTCTTTTGTGCTTTGCCGACTACACGTGTAGCATTTTCCACCTTCTGTTGGAATTACGAACGTACGCGACTATCCGTTGTACCTCGATTTTGAGCACAGATTTTTAGAAAAAAAGGATGTATTTAACAATAAAAACAGAAGTATTTTATGAAAAATATTAAGCTGCCTAATAAACCCAGAAAATATTCTTTTTAATTTCTGCTGAGAAATGTACGCCAATGGGAGAATAAAATCTGCGGTACCCTACTTATTTTTATGATTCTCAAATTTGCATTTGAAATTTAATTGATTCGAAATACTTCTTTCGACGACACATTTGATCTGAATCATTATTTGCCTGTAAATTCCGATCGTAGGTTGCATAGGTGCGAATTTGTCGCGGTCTATATATGTATCTGGTTTAAGCCACAACCGAGCTTTTTAGAGCTTATTGTGGGAATAAGTACGGCGCATATATTTTCTTTTCAACAATAATTCTCCAGATGTCAAGTGTGATCTCGCATTATTGTCTAGCTTGAGGCAAGTCTGCATGATTTTAGAAACATTCTTGAAAATATAAAATAAAGCTCATTTGAGAATGAATATTATCATGAAAAGCCCATTTAAAATTCCGAGAAAATTTAGAGAGATTTTGTGCTTACCTCATTTATCGACGAACGTGGCAGAAAATTCCTGCGGTCAGGGTGGTTATTTTGATGTGCGCTCGTTTACGGCGAAAGCCGAGAAAGCAATTCCGCCCTGACTGAGGCCATCACGACTTCATGTGGTTAATAACGGGGCCATAAAAGGCTGGGAAGTGTGCTGAATTAATACGCATTTCGACTTAGAAGACAGCAGTTGAAGTTGATCGAAGTTTTCGCGTAAATTGCAGCGATAGCAGCGGGAAAACTGCCCTGCGTCTGGCACTTCAAACCCGCGAGCAGCATATTCGTAGGGACAAGGCGACGTCCAACATCTGCACGGCACAAGCGCTGCTGGCGAACATGTCGGGAATGTATGCCGTCTACCACGGTCCCCGAGGTTTGAAGAGGATCGCGGAACGAGCGCATAACAACGCCCTCCTCGTTGTCGAAGGTCAGGTCGTTGCCCAGGCTGACGTTGTTTCTCAGGTTAGGAATAGAAAAGAAAAGAAACGCCGTTTCTGATCCACAGCGGCCGAAGTGGTCGGACACGTACCGCAGTCGACGCTTTTCTTCGACACGATCAAGATTCGACCGTCTGAGGCTTTCCCACAGGAATCTATCAGGCAACGGGCCGAAGAGAAAAAGATCAATTTGAGATATTACGACGACGGTGGGGTGAGTGCGCAGCACGGGTGATGTAAACCTCGACATTTGTTCCCCTTACCTTTTCAATAAAAGAAATTCAACAGACTGACTCTACCCGACTCAGAACGGCGTCGACTTCCGAGAGCGAGGTTATTGGAACTGCAACTCTCGATAGAATGCCTCGGTAGCGTGAAAGAAAAGAAAGAACAGAGGCGCTCCGGAGTTTTCTTTCTGAATACGTTTACAATAGAGCCTAAAATAAATCGGGCTGATGATTGGTCCTGTCTTTCCGAATAATTAAATACTGATAAAAGTATAACATCACGTGATATTATCTGATTTTCAATCAAGGAGCAGCAACGTTGCAATTGTCGCCATGCAGACTTTTCGCGAAGATTTCCATGATGATGTGCTCACGTTCATTCTCTTGTCTTCTCCTGGGAAAGTTTTTCTTTTTACTGTGAACATTTTGCCAGCTGTCGGTGGTCCTCGTGTTAATCTTAATTTTTTTTTTACAGATTTCAATATTTAAAGCTGAGTCAATTCTTCGAAAATATGCAGCATTTTAAATTAAACTCACAAGATGAGTTTTTTCCTCGTTCTGATCGACTGGAAATTTGGTTATAGGTCAAGTTAGTTAAACGAGGGCCGGATTAATTGAGGTTTACAGTAAGACTACGACAGTGGGAGTACAGTACAATATATTGAGATTCTAAATGCGCATCCATTGAAGTCACGAAATTCATCATCATCACTTAAGTGAAGTGCCGACATGAGTCAAGCCTGCAGATGTTCGAAATTGCATGCATATCACCGAAAATTATGGTAAAACTTCAAAATTCGTCGTCATGAAGCCCAAGTTGGTCATGGTAATGCTTGGAAAGTTGTCGTCGGCGTTGCCCTGAAAAGAAGTACGTGGGCGTGTCCACGCGTAAAACTAGAGTGTTCACCAGGCATTCACGGGAAGAGTTGGTTCAACAACCGTGTCGCCCTTTGTTAACCTTGTCCGAAGGAACTTTTTAAGTCGGCATTTTCCTTGGAACTGCACTTCCGCGTGACGGCACACGCCTGCCCCGGATCCTCGTTGATAGACGCGGAAACGTGAAGTTCTCTCTGTTCCTTTTTTCCCCCCCACTTGTAATCAGGTTGGGATTTCGTCGAATGAAACAATGTCGCAAGGAGATCTCCAGGATCTTCTTTGGACACTCGGTTGTCGCTTCACGCTGGACGAGGTAGGCTATGAAAATTTCCCTCCCGCGCACACGTTTATGCACGGCTCATTAATCACATCGTTCAGTTGGCCGCTCGTCACGGGAAAGACGCAATTGGAAGGAGAATTTCCGACTCGCCGTTGGCGCGAACGTCCAAATTTATGCAGCAGCCGATTTTCAACAAGTATCATTCCGAGGCTCAAATCGTACGCTATATGAAACAGCTGGAAAACAAGGACGTTTCCCTGGTTCACTCTATGATCCCTCTCGTGAGATATTCTGTTTCTCAGCAGTATATAGGTTCCGTGCCTTGAAACTATTCTCACTCGTTTCTCAAGGGGTCCTGCACCATGAAGCTGAATGCTACCTCTGAAATGGTGCCATGCTCGTTGCCCGGCTTCGCAAATCTGCATCCTTTTGTGCCGATTGATCAAGCAGCGGGTTACCAGAGAATTTTTCGAGACCTTGACGAGTACTTGTGCGAAATCACCGGCTTTGAACACATATCATTGCAGCCGAACAGGTGAGGATTTTGAAGTTGAGTGAACTCTATATTGAGGAGGCTTACGAAGTTACAATGTGTTTCCCGTAGTGGAGCCCAAGGGGAATTTGCGGGATTGACGACGATAAAGAAATACCTGGCGGCAATCGGGGAAGTAAAGCGGGATGTGAGTGCTGAATGTTTTTGATGAATTTCAGCCCCGAGAGATTTGTTTCCCTGTTGCAGATCTGTCTCATCCCAACTTCCGCTCACGGAACCAATCCCGCTTCAGCGCAAATGGCTGGCATGAAAGTAGAACCCGTACAGGTCAAAAAAGACGGCTGCATCGATTTCGACGACTTGAAGAAGAAGGCATGTTCTTGATTTTCGATGCTTTCGGGAGATGAGAATCCGCGAACAATTTTAAGTGAGCTATCTTTCTTTGTCCTCCGTCTTGAATTATTTCTCCGTCAGGTGGAAAGATTCAGCGACAGACTTGCGTGTCTGATGGTGACTTACCCGTCGACAAACGGCATTTTCGAAGAAGGTATTGAGACCATGTGCGACTTGATTCACTCTGCTGGAGGCCAGGTACAGAAAAGCTACCCGCTCGCGGGCTGTTCCCGCGCTTTCAAGTTAATCGAGAATCTAATTCCAGGTATATCTAGATGGCGCTAACATGAATGCTCAGGTGGGACTCTGTCGCCCCGGGGATTACGGTGCAGACGTGTGTCACCTCAACTTGCACAAGACTTTCTGCATCCCCCACGGAGGCGGGGGACCAGGAATGGGTCCAATCGGAGTGTAAGGTTTTCTATTCTTGGAAAGATTCCACTCCTATACATTAACCGAAAATCAAAATAACACAATACATCTTACAATATAAATCTACGGAATTTTAATGCAGAGGAAAGTGCGCCAAGCATGTCGAAAGACTTTGCTGATATTCTGACTTGGATGCCCTAATTGCTGAGAATGGAAGTCACACATTCTATGTTTACTGAATTTGATCCAGTATTGAAAATCTACATTCATCATCCATGAAATAAACTACAGTAATTTATAAGCGAGGACTATCGTTTTTTTCGAACCAGGGAATCATTGTCAAGACATTTTACAATTTCTGAGACATATACTTGCAATTAAAATAACTAGGATAAGTCTCGTTAGTGTAAGCAAGCAATGATAATTAATTTTAATTATATTGGAAGCCTGTCCGATGCCATAAAAACTTCTTTTGTCTCGATAGAAAAAATCATCTTGGACCATATTTGCCCTCTCATACTCTGGTGAAAATGGAACAATACCACGGATCAGTGGCGCCCACTAGCGGAGCTGTCAGCTCGGCTCCCTTCGGATCACCTCTAATCTTGCCGATATCCTGGGCTTACATTCGCGTGAGTATTAAATGGGCAATTGATCTCGAAGAGGATCGTCGCGATGTGCGTTTTGATTGGTAGATGATGGGTGCGGACGGTCTTCGAAAAGCGACGGAAGTTGCCATGCTGAATGCAAATTACATGGCTAAAAGACTGGAGCCGTTCTATAAATGCCTATTCCGGGGTCATTTGGGAAATGTGGCGCATGAGTTCATCCTGGACGTCAGGCCTTTCAAGAAAACAGCTGGCATTGACGTCGCTGACATCGCTAAGCGCCTTCAGGATTACGGTGACTATTCCTCCACACTTTTATCGCAGCCGCTCATGTTCTTGACATGTTAATTTGATCTGCATAGGATTTCATGGGCCTACGATGTCTTGGCCTGTCACGGGTTGTCTGATGATTGAACCGACAGAGTCGGAGGACAAAGCCGAATTGGATCGTCTATGTGATGCCTTGATTGGTTCGCTACCTTATTTTCCCCTGTTGAAACATTAATAGCAATGCTTCGATGTCGAATCACGTTTTAGGGATTCGGGAGGAAATCGCCGCGATTGAGAAAGGGGCCATGGATTCAGAGAGAAACCCGTTGAAATTGGCTCCGCATCCTCTTAGTGACGTGTGCTGTTCCGAGTGGAATCGACCATACAGTCGGGAAATAGCTGCGTTTCCTGCGGTGAGAGCATATCTGAATTCGGATTTCCTGCTGAATAAAAAAAGCAATATACCTGCTCACAAACTACGCTTTAAGCGCGTTGTCGAAGAAAACGGGACGATTTGTCTGGCCACTTTCAGCCGAAAATACCACGCCCTTTAGACACTTTAGTCGTATGCAGTTCCGTTCGACGTCATCTTAAGTGCGAACTTATAACTGTGAAGTGTTTCTAAACCAGTATCATGAGTACTTGCCTTGGCCTTGAAAGTCGTAATATCCAGCGAAGGTATTTCAATTTTGCATATCGGATTTGTCTCGAAAATCCATGGATTTCGTAGATCGTACTGTACTTGTGTGTTGCGCATGATCATAGCAAAGGTGTCAAGAAGCATCTTTGCACATTCCTGCTCATCCAGGGTTAGGATGTCCTGGAATTTCCACTGCCACATGAGGACTTCCATGGAAGTCCTGCTGCAACATTAGCAGACGTTGAAATGGAGCCTATATATAGATATCATATCTCGTACTCTCAATACTTATATAGTAATGAAGCAGATACCCGAAATATTTTGTTCCAGATAACGAATAAAGAGTAGATTTATCGGATATTCAGTCGGAAGTTGTTATTTTCAGCTGTAATAATGTTCATCGATCAAATGCCAGCAGTCGAAGGAAACGTTCAATAATTTTGTTAACAATTTATAAAGGAAAAGTTTAAATTAGTTCCGGTTCGTCAGCAAGTTTTTAAATTAGTTTGATCCCGTTCGTTGTCGTCCCGGGTTTTAAAGTTTCTTGTTTACAGGTAGAAAGTCACTCCCGCTTTGCCTAGGGATGAAATTCAGTACTGTACTGTAATAATTTGAATTAAACGCACTCTCGTCTCTTTTTCTCGATGTGCCGCAAACTTTAGTGAATACAGCGTGGACAAAAAGTGCACCAAATTTCAGACGACAATACTTTACTTCCATTAAAACGTATCGCAATAAGAAACTGCGAAGAAGTTAATTTTGATATAAATTGAGGTGAACTTTGCATTTATTATCGTAATATTAAAAGTAGAATGTCGTTAATATTAAAATGTCTTAATATTGAAAATATAAATGAAAGTGTAAAAATAGTTTCCAAATGCTTTCTCGCATTGAAACCCTGAATTTAATTATTTCTGAATCTAGTTCAGTTAATCTTTATAGCTGTAGTCGAAAAATTCCCGGAGATATCTTGGTTTGAAATTTTGAAAAATTATATACAGTAGGTGCACATTCTGTACCTCGTCAGCTGTCAAAATACTGTACCAATCTAAGGTATCATCGATTTATTGTAATGCACTTGTAATAAGAAAAATAATTTTCTAATTTGAAGTGGGGAAAATGCGTCAGATACGAGATTATATTCTACTGTATATGTATTTCCTCCCCCCCCCCCCTCATATCGAGATTTTTCGGGCGATAGTTTTATAAATGCGACCATTACTTCAGAACTTTTCAGCTGCGTCCAGGGACTCCAGGCCAACCTTACTTTATTTTCGCCAGCAGAAACCGAATCATATATGAGGAAATTTTTATTGATATTTCATCTTAAGGTTTATATATATCAAGTATGAATATTTATGCTGAAAATTATTTTCTAGCCGTTCGTGAGACCCGAGACGAAGGTTTGGCCGACAGTAGGGAGACTGGATGATAAGTTCGGAGACCGGAACTTGGTTTGCTCGTGCCCCTCCATGGATGAGTACTCCACGTCATCGTCCAATTCCTCTGACGACGAAGCCTCCTGTGCCATGTGAATCAACATCATTTTGATTAAAGATGTCGAGATTTTTTCTTCTGAAGATCGATTTTCATTCTCCCTCCCCAAGAGCAAAGTTTGGTTTATCGTGCTGTGATACCCTCTGTCCTTGTTGCCTTTTTGTCGCTTGAGTTTCGGCGAAGTGTGACTCAGACGGTTTTTTAAATTGATGGAAACGCGATTCCGTGGGTGGAGTGGAATCGGCCGTAATTATCGGGTCATTGCGTGAGCATATTTTCAAGGCCGGGATGTTTTGAATTGTCGGAAATGCGATTCTTTTTTTTAGTGCTTCACGATTTTGTTTCAATCTATGACCCAATAAAACTCTTCTGTGGATTATCTCCCCATTGTTCTCTTCATTCGCCATTCCCCTTGACAAGGTGCAGTACAATTTCGAAAAAAGCATCAGTTGATCGCGCACATGAGCGTGAGGAAAGGGATGATGATCATTAGCACGATGTACACACTCGAACGCGGTTCACACACATTCTTCACCCAGAAAGGCTCAGTCCAGTCGTGGTAGGATTCTTCTAGTGGCTTCCAAATGAGCACTTGGTCGTTGGACCAGAAGCCGAGATGAAATGAGCAGTTCTTCGCGTGCTGGCAATCATTACTCGGCAGTACGTCGTATTTGATGCGTAAGAGCTCTATCTCAAAATTAACCCAGTTGTCGGTTATTTCGTTCTCGCTTCCGAAAATGAAGTAGTAAAAGCCGTCGGCCGGGACGGTGAGGTTCACGATTATCGTGGGATGGAAACCGAAGTCTCTCGAGCACTTCCTCGACGGCTCGATTATTTTTTGAACTATTAGACTTTTGCATCGCTGAAGGGCCTCTTCACTGCTGGAAAATGACGAGAACTCCTCGGAAAGCGAGTCATTACCAGGGTCGGTGGAGTTCAGGAAACCAGTGGAAATCCATTCCTTGGACAGAGCTTCTTCCGGATCGTCGTCGAACACCTCGCCTTCGACATCATCCTCGGTATCCCGTTTTCGTTTCACGCCGTCGTCACTCTCCTGCGGCATTTTCAAGAAATCTTCCATCAAAGTTCTGAGGGGTACGGTCTCATTCACCTGAGTTCCCCAGGATCTCAGAAGGGCCTTGAATCTCTGAGAAAAATCCTGGTGTCCCCATCGCGACATGACGTCGACAAGCTCTGATCTCTTCTTGGTGACGAGAGAATCCGGCGCATCTTCCACGATTTGGCTCGATTCCTCGGGCGAGTCAGCGGAATAAGTTTCGACGATTGAGCAAGTTTTCAAACTCGGGACGCCTTCCAATACTATCACTTCCGCTCCCGGCCAGCTGCTTAGTCAAGGAATCCAAGAGATAGAATTCTCGGTGCAGTTACACTCGGTGACTGATCACAGAAGTGTGACTACTGTATAATCTTCAAGTTAATGGCTAGTGATTCAAAAAAAAGAAGAGGCAATTTTTGTCAAGGGAGAGTGATCGAAGGTAGGGTGGAAATCTCTTGTTCATGACAGATCATCTCAATTCTAGAGTAGAGACAGCATCAAAATGTAATCCTTGCATGCTGCACTAGAATAAATACGTTGGCAAAATATTATGCACAATTATCACTGACCAATCTTAGAACATGCAACCAACGACATTTCATTGTTTAAAAGATATTAACTCTCAGTGAAACGCAAGTTTACCGCACAGCAAAAATCATACACCAATTCGTCAGAATCCCGCTTCCGTCTCCATTTTATTTTTCACATGCTGCCAATCAACCTCTGTTGATGTTTTGTTTTGACTTAATTTCCAGTTAGGTGTCACTGCGATCATTTAAGGGGTGGGTCTAGATCAGCTGAACAACATGATTGGTTAAGTTAATCTGCTGCTTAAGTTAAGCTTAGTCAGGACTTAAGTTTCATGCTATTGCTGAAGACGCTTTTCATTGCTTGATGATCACCTGGAACTGTCAAGCATTGCAAAAAATATACAGTATTGTTGTTGGTCATGTACTAAAACAGCAGCAAAATACTGTCAAAAAAGAGTGGTTCAGACCTTGTTGGTCGATGGGATTTCGACTTCGTCCATTAAAATCATTCACAGTATATAAGGACACTAGCAATAAATTACTGAATACAGCTACGAATTATGCTAACGAACTTTTCGAGCCAAGAAAGGGTTTCAGCGAGTCGTGTTGTACTGCTATCTTTGGAGATATCCGGAACTGAAATGCATTAAATATTCCAGCCGCATTTTAGCGTTTCCCAGGAAATGTGCGTGTGGGGGTGATGGAAGTGCGCTATGAAATTGGGGTTGCGAAAGTCACTGTCAAACTCACCGAGCACAGGTTTTTATGGTGATTTTGGTTCCTCTCAGCAGATAGAATCCCCAGTACTTCTTTATGTCGTCCGTGAGAGTGACGTTAACGCGGACCATAATGGGGGCAGTGTCCATTACGCGCTTTGGCTCAGCACTCAGCTTAGCCGCGTAGAAGCTGGAATTCATCGTCAGCGTTTGAGCCTGCAAAACAACCAGTGCAAGAGAATCAGCGAGGAGCCACTTTGAGTATTGCACAGCAACGGGTGGGTCGATGGGACGAGAATGTATGCTTACCTGACACCAAACAGTGGAAACGTGCGAACTCATTAATCTCATGTCAGAAACTTGTATCGGGTGCATCGATTCCGCGTACACTTTATTTCGCATGTACAACGGCACGATGCAAAGCACCGCGGAGCAAATCAAGAACGCCAGAAGACGGACGACCTTCCCCACCACAGACTGATCCCGGTTCGGCGGCCGGCCCCAGTACGGGGCAACGGGATGCACAACACCTGGGGATATTCAATTCCATGTTGACCGACAGCAGTTCACCTTTTCATTTCGCTCCTAAATGAATAATATTGTTGCATACGCCCGTGTCCCACACTATGCTGCACTTCCGGCGCGAATTCATTCATGCGCACACCGCGTCAGCACCGTCCGACATATTTGCGTACCTAAACCAGCAACGCATCTATACCGCCTGCCTTCCCTCAGAACATTTTAAAGGGCCCTAAAATAGACCCTAATGCTAGGATTCAGGAGAGAATGTCGTGAATGAGAAAATTCCACCGGATCGAAAATCCGGCAGTTGGGGCAACGCAGCAGGCATTCTGGAACAACTGTAAAATTCCTTTATTTAGTTCACTTGCGATATTTCCTCTCTGCGGGATTTTCTGAGGGAGCCCTTGCTGGTGGGCTGCAGAAGTACAGTGGTGCATTGGGTAAGAGGCACTTCGCAAAGTAGGTTTTATATGGCAAATCAGACTCGGGAATCAGTTGCTGGCAAATATGGCTGCCAGAATTATATTATTTTTTTGAATTAAAGCTTTTTAATGTTCTCGATCATGTTGAATATTATTTCACCATAATTTCTGAGTGTCTATATTATTCTACACAGGTCAAGGAATAAATAAAAAGAATTCCGAAAAGGGCATCGAATTATTGATAATGAGAAATTCCACATTAAGAGTTCATGGTGTTCTTTCAATTCATGAACTAGAAAATTAACAAAGTACCCACTCACGCATAGAGAAATGAGTGTTTAACAGTGCCAAGAACTTGGAATAGCTTATGCGAACTATTTGGAACAAATTAGCAATTTTACATAGCTTTTCGTCTTATTCGTTTAGATAATTTTATTAATTAACGTTATATAGAGTCTAGACCTCTTCTGGGGCCCGGAACCTTAAAGCCTTAATTACTCAGTTGACGCAATTATTCTTTCAATGTACAGTACCAGACTTCCCGTCGGCAAAGCAGAAAAAAGTCCATTAACCAAGACACCATTGTATAAAATCATAATTATATTTTGTTTTACTTCGAAATTCAAAATTAAAACATATCCTATATTAAGGTAAATTACAATAAAAAAAATTGAGATGGAAATCTGTTTTGCAAACTCCATTGGTCTATAGGGACCTCATTTTCCAGCTAAAAAAAAAATGCAAGAAGTTAAGCTCCCGCTCTTGTGCATCTGAACAGAGAACTTTTAATTGGATACTTCTGTTTTTTCCTCCTACAGATAAGAATGGCCCTGTAAAAAATACGAATTTTGGCATCCAGAATGGACGGATCTGAGAATGAAATAAAAGAATACGAAGACATGAAGTTGTCAAAAGGACTGCTGATTATTTGCGTATCTGCAATTTATCATTTATTCATGCTCGGAGATTCGTTGCGCTTGTTGAAACTGCCGTGAATGATTCTTAAAATGGAGCCCTCTTGAAGTGTGTTAGGAAATTTATCACAATGGAATACAACGCTTACCTTATACACAATTCGTCAATTAGCAAGAATTTATTGTTACACTTCAGAATAACTTTGAATTGATTTTTCATCGAATTCACGTTCCATGGAGCAACTCAAGTCTGCTTGTAGAGAAGATTCCTCTTAGCAAAACTGCTTACATTTTTGGTTTGGCTACACAACGAAAGCCCATATTTGATTATCATAAACCTATTTAGACGTTGATTTTTCCATACCTGTCAGTGGCGTAGCATCTTCGTAGAGACTAGACGTCAGTTGTTTTCGATACGCCATCATCGAGGTGGGAATTTGATACCTGCTGCAATCCACCTTGGATGATTCTTCTGTTTCCTCGCCTGCAGAGCCACATCCGCCTTCAGGATAGAAAAAGGAAATCCCTTTGAGGAAAATCATCAGGCTTTCCGCAGCTGCTTTTGGTGGCTCTATTTCTCTGACGAGACTCCTCAGCTTATTTTCCGAATGTAATGTAGCCAAGGTAAATGATCGATCGATATTGCTGAGAAGGGATGATCAATCTAAAGTTCTGTGCAAGAAGTAGCTTAAAGGTGGGCAAAATGAAGGCACTGACAAGTCACTCCAGAACCACTCGCTCGATCACGTCCCGGGAAGGAAACGTCGTTGCAGTGATCTTCATTATTGTCACGGCCTTCCATGGATCACTTTTGGTTGTTGAGCGCAGTTGTACTTTACCCGATGTTCATCAGTACAAATAGGTCATCAGCTTGCAAAGAAATGTGTCCAGAGAGTATGGGCTACTCTGATATGTTCCGAATGATGAAATAATCCTTACAACTCCTTAAATTGTTCAAATACAGTAATACCAAATTGACGATATTAATCCAAAAGACACATTTGGTGCCTTCCGATTTTATTAAATTAGTTCACGCTTTGGATAACTCCAGTCATTCAGAAGCAATAAACGATAAGGCTAATCTCAAGGAATTCTGGTTGTTCAGCCTGTTTGAAAAAGGGATAAAATAATTCTGATTTGATATCAAATACTTTTGTTAAAGTGCCAGGTGCATCACTTCAAATCAAATTTCCGACAACCGTGCTCAGGCGTTGCATT